CACGTTCGGGGGCGGGGGCAGGAGGAGCCAGATGGGTTCGAGCGATGGTAACCCGCAGCAGCAGCAGCAGCAGCGGGGGTCAGAATCTGGTCCACCAAGTGCGGCTGCTGGAGCGCCGACCTCGTCAGCAGGCGAAGCTGCAGCAGCAGCGGAAGCAGCAGCACCAACGGCCTCAGCAGGTCCAGCAACAGCAGCACCAGCAGCAGCAGCAGCAGCAGCAGCAGCAGAGCCTTCAATCGTGTTTGACCCCGAGCTGCCGCTGCACGAGCAGGCGCAGCAAGTGCTGCAGCTGTACTCTTTCAGGTCGCAGCAGTCCTTTGTTTTATCCCCCAGGGCATTGGCGCAGCAGCAGCAGCAACAGCAGCAGCAGCAGCAACAGCAGCAGCAGCAGCGGCAAGAGCGTTCAGCTGCTGCTGCAAGCGGTGAGGCTGCAGAAGAGCCCACCGAGGAGGCAGCAACGTCTGCAGCAGCACCAGCAGCAACAGCTGCCGCTGCAGCAGCAGAAAGTGGACAGAGTGAATCAGCAGCAACATCTGTCATGTCTTGGCAGCAGTGGGCTTCTTCTCTCTTGGATCCCTCAAACTTTTTTGCCGACACGACAGCAGCAGCAGCCCCAGCAGCAGCAGCAGCAACTCCAGCAGCAGCAGCAGCCCCAGCTGCAATTCCAGCAGGGTTGGCAGCAGCAGAAGAAAGTGCGGATGCCTCTTCAAACACCGCAGCAGCAGCAGCAGCAGCAGCACCTGCAGCAGCAGGGAGGCGCCGCCGCGTAGGCGGCGTGCGAACAGGCCGGCAGCAGCAGGAGCAGCCGCAGCAGCGCGAGCAGCAGCAGCGCGCCCGCCGCGCGGCCCGCAACAGCGAGCAGCAGCAGCAGCAGCAGCAGCAGCTGGCGGGGGGCTCTGTGCACGAGGTGCTGACAGCAGCACTGCAGACCCTGCGGGGCGTTGCTGCCCGCAGCAGCAACGGCACCCTCGAGCTCATCTTGACAACAGTGCTGCAGCAAATAACTCCCCCCGAGCAGCACTATGTCCTCCGCATTGGTTCCATCCTGCAGCACACGGTGAGTACCAGCAGCAGCAGCAGCTGCTGCTGCTACAGCAGCAGCTGCTGTTGCTACAGCAGCAGCAGCAGCAGCAGCATCGG